ACTGGGGATCTACGGGTTGCCGGCGGTGTGCCGGTTTTGAACGAAATAAACAATTGAAGGATAGATTATTTTAATGGAAGAAATATTGGATTTGGCAAGAGTGTACGAAGCACGGCGGGAACGTCGCTTTTCTTTCGTCAACCGGGACGCTGCGAGCAGTACCACGAACTACGCGTCCTCCAAGAGTTGGTTTACCGATCACAAACGAGGCTGTCGATGATCACCACCGAATTACCTTAGATTGACTAACCAAATCTTTGATTTCAACTCAGTTCATATGATTCACAAAGATGTTAACATCGCGATTTAACGCGACGATTTCGCGGTTTAACGCAAAGTACGCCGTAACTTCGGAACGCACCGTTCAATTTATGATTTCTCCGTCTTACCTTAAGACAAGTCTAAACTTTGATTTCAACTCACTTTATATGAACTGACAAATAGTATCCTCCAAATAACCATCAGCAGCCTCGTAATGATCATTAACCTTCTCACAGCACGACTACGACCACCATATCACCTTCACGACCACCAACACCAAAAGCCAAATAAAAACAGAATGAATAAATACAAAACAAAAAATAATAATGAAAGCAAACGTGAGTAACGTCTGCTATTGCTTGTTATAAGGAGCTCAAAGCGACGAACGAGACTCTGAAGAGCCTCCAGACGCAGTTGGAGCTAGCGTACGCCTCAACAGCATCATCAGGTGCTCCAGTAGCAGGGAGTACCGGTGGCGTCGGCGGCGGTGGTGGTGGTGGTGGTATTGGATTTTGCGGCACTGGTTATGGTACAACCTGCAATACAGCAACAATGCTGGGTGGTAGTGTGGCCGTGCCTGGTGGTGTACCAGGTAGCACCACTCTGACAGCCATTCTCGAGACTAAAGATGCACGCATACAAACACTGGAGAAGGAAGTCAGCCTGCTTGAGGCTGAGCTGCAGCGTATACGAGAGTGCGGTGGTAGACTGCGTGAACAACTGCTCAAAGCAACAGCTGTGCCAAGTGGCGGTACATGTGGAATGTACGGTGGCAGTACAACACCAGGAGCTATTCCAGGAACAACAGGTATCGAAAGTGTTGCCAAGGGACGCTCCTTGTCACTTCCATCCGCGTTTGGAAGTCTACAGTCATCTGTACTCACACGTGGGCCCTCCGTTATGACAGCCCTGTTACCGCAGGGACAAACAACATCTACATCACTAACAAATCCGTTGCTTGCCGGTTCGACAGGTACACCAGGTGGAACGACATCGTGCCTAGCTGGTACTGGTGTTGTCAATCCCTACACGGATCGTCATGGTCCACATCCAACACAACAGCATTATCATCATCCACAGACCCCTTATCAGCAGCATCAGGCACAGCAGGCACAACAGGCACATCAACAGACTATACAGCAGCATCTGAAACACATTGAGCCGGCCGCCGCCGGCGCCCTGGCACTACATGCTCACACCTTCAACAAGCACGATCTCAACTTCAAACGCCAAGTAAGTTTCTTCATCAACAACGTCCGCATCGAAAAGAACGACGTCATCTAAGATGTGGATCAGCTCACGGAAGACAAGTCCTCCAACACTGGATTTTTGCAAATGTTTTTTATTTGTGATACGAAAAGGAGATTACTTCTAGGCTATATTTTACAGATTTTGGTAGTGTGGAGAGGTCAGGATGAGAGAGTTGCTTGGAAGATTAGTTTCTGGTTCTCCTGGGTTTAGAATTTTGGTTGCAAGCTTTCTCGATGCAAAGCTCCAACGGCTTTGTGTACCTCCGAGCGAACCAAGCGTGATTTCTATCAGAGACCCCAGTGTTTATATCGTACTTCCGGTAGAGATCCGTAACGACAGGGGGGGGGGGTTGATGATAGATATGTTTACACATAGATATTATTATACGATATAAGTAGATTATGGCGAAAGTATATTTAATGAATGAACTATTTGAGAGATTAAACGTTGAACATTACATTCAAACGTTAAACACGTGTCTTCGCAGGTATTGAATTCCCTGCCTAGGCCAGAAACACTGAAGACAGATCGTCGCCGCTGTTTACTGCGGCTTTATATTATCAATATTACAAGCCACCCGTGTTCGAAAAACAATTGTTCTCAATTATTCTTTCACCCCAAGTGTATCCAGCTCCAATTATAAAAATCCTTCCTCTCTATTGTTTTTTTAAGTCTACCTTTCCAGAGATAATTGCTATACGATATATATACACATTAATTCCAACGTCGAATCGGTAGTATATTTTTCGACTCGATGTATATGACTCCTTAGACATAAAGATATATATATATAAAGATATATATTTACCTCCAGAAAGCTTACATCCACTATGAATAATCTACCAAAGAAATTTTTCGAATGCTGAACCGATGTTACGGACGTGAGGTGGGAAAATAAGAAAGTCTTTTGGCTGTGTAGCTTGCCGAATCTTAAATGTGCGTACCTAAAGAGGAAAAGGAAATATATTAAACTTTAGGCCTTAGAAACTGTTGACCCCTTGAGATGTCTAAGAATGTTAATTGTACAGAAATAAATTTTTTCCCCGTTTATTCTGAGTAAAGAAAAGAAGTCAATGCATTTAAAAAAAATGATTAGATCTAATCGGAGGACTGAACCTCAAGACTTTGGCTCTACTATATTTTTTCATAGAGATTAAATCCAGTATAGAACATTCCCAAAAAGCCAAATAAACAATTTAGAAAGAAAAGAACAAAAAATCGCGCAAATTCTATTGCCCCCTCTTCGTCCCTCTCGTCCATCAATTAAAGTAATACTCCCCTCTAATGATTCCTGAAGTTATGATAATTATTTACAATAAACTTAAGAAACTTCTGATGACTAATATTGTGAGGATGAAGAAGAAACTCAATTAATGAAGAATGATAAAAACGTCAATCCCAAATCGGTCGTTACCAACGATCAAAATTTCTCCTCGTCCTCTTACTATTTAATAAAAGTCTAATGATTCCTTCGAGGACGAGAGAGATTGACAGTGATGTAAATGGTACTTTGTAATAGCAATAGAGGACTGATGAATAAAATAATATTTTCGAGTGATAAGATATTCAACTAACGCAATAAATATTGCTATTACAATTTAAAAAAATAACGTAAAATGCAAGAAATACGTCAATGCGAGGAGTTATTGTTACAGAATGAAAAGAAATTATAACTGAAGAAGCATCTGTGTGAGAAAATCGTTGATTAATAAATTCTTGCGAATCTGAAAATCTGGCCATATCAATCAGTATCAATGAAACCTGTCCAAAATCAATCATTATTCAGACTAAATCATTTCAAAATCACTCACTGCATCATTGTTGAAGTCATTGTATCACCAATTGGTTCATCGAGAGATTAGTTGTCATAGACGAGAAGTATCATAAATCAATCATTTCAAGTATCCTTTTTACATCACTGATATTCATTGGCACTCGGACGTCCCATCATTATGAATAATAAGCCCTCCGATACATCCAAAAACATGAAAATGATAAAGATAAATAAATTCTGTTCCTCCGTTTCTCGGACATTTTACGATTATTATGATTTCAAATAGCCAATTTTTAAATAGTTTAATTTCCATGATTTCGATCATTTTTCCTCAGTTCTTCCTTATCATTTATTATGAAATATCTCTCTGCCCTCATCGAAGACGTCTTCCCAAGAAGATTCTCTTCAAAAAAAAATTCTCAGCTTTGATCACGTCGTTACTCCCTCTCTCTCTCGCACGCACTCCTCTCATCACACCTTTCCGTCACTAGTCTTTTCTCCTGCCAAGAAAAATAACCAAATATCCCCATTTTTTCCACCACGCTACTATTAAGCTTCAGCACCGAGACACTTTTCACGTGGCAAAACCGAACGTGACGAAGGAAAAGAAACAGTAGAAAAAAAAAGATAATATCAAGGAGACAAAGGATGACAGCATGCTATTCACCATTTTTTTCCCATCCACCGTTTGTTCACGATGGCATGGTGCATGCAAGCGCAGCAAGTACTCGATGCTTTCGTCGAACTCAACTTTTTTTCAACTCCGAAATCTCTCTCTCTCTCCAATCTTTCCAATTGTTATTCTGTTTATGGTTTTATGGTTATCTTAAAATTAACTGCGAGATTTGAATTCTGTTGAGAAATTTCGTTACTCTCGTTGTTTGGTTATTTACTTGTGTTTGAATTTCTGAATCTTCCTCTCTCTCTATCTTCTCAAATTTGGAAAACAGGTGCTGAATGAAAAATAACGAATTATCACGAGGTTCTTGATTGAGGGATGAAGCTGAAATTAGAGAGAAAAATTCGACAGCAGAAGATTTGTTTTAGGCGAATCTAGGGGTGTAAAAGTGTATTTAAGTAATGTACAAACTCCTTCGCACTTGAAAAACATTTGTACATATGATTATTCGACTCTCCTACACTTAAATATCCTTTAAATTGAATTTTCTGCTGACGAATATTCTGCTAGTTTCAGCTTCATGATTGAAAGACCGATTTTTCACCGTGACGCTTCGTCATTTTTCCTCGCACCGATATCATCAGAGTCAATGCGTTTGGTTTTTGTCCCGCGCTTGAGAGATACTCAGCAAACAGTTCTTCATTACTATTGACTCCCCCAAGAGCCACTCACACTCTTTCATCTCCCAATGTTGATTGCTTGGTCTGACGGAGAGATGTTCAAATATCAAATGAAAATCGTTGGACAAACCAAACGTACCCACCTCTGATGGTTTTCCGGCCTTTAAACTGTACTTAAAGTCTTAAGATATTAAGTTTAAGTTATAGATAAGACAACGTATCAACAAACGCCAGTTGATTCCATCGATTCTCGCAAACTTTAATTGCCTCCGAGTTTTATTGCCACGTGCTGTTTACTGTCGGTTCTAATGGTACGAGTGGAGATAATTATTGAAGCGTTATGAGTATCGATGGAATGTCGACTGGTTACGTTGACGAGCTAAGCATATTAAATATGGTGCCCAAAATATTTTAGCTTACTGAAGAGGTAAGGATATCACTTCACCCGTTGAACGAGAAGCACTTCCAAGCTCTCCAAGCACCCATTCCTTCGTTTATCACTGCGTTTGCTTAAACGAGGCATCTTACTTCCATAGTATCTGGATTATCGTAATTATTACCACCAGCCAAAAATGTAACAATACTTCAATTTTATTTCTTAATATTAATTAACTGACGAGTAATGTTCAAAAATTGGTGTTTGTTATTTTTGTGATAAAGTAGTTGTCTTCAGAGTCTAATCGAGTGATCGAAACTGTCTCATTGAACTATTTTTTTTTTTCATCATCAAAACAGTGTCTGTTTATAATCGCATTTTTGGAATTAACAGCAGCATTTTGTTTCAGTCATGTCGCATCATTATGTCCGCATCATTTTGAATTCAATATTTTTAACGATGCCTGAATATTTGAATATACAGATATCATCATTCTCATTAAATCCAATGAATCGCGTTCTCCTCATTTGCTGAAATAATTTTCTTGCAACTGTTATCTAACTCACCGCGAGGGTAGAAATATCATAATAATAGCAAGAGAGTCATTTAGTTCTCGCTATACGAGTCTAAAAGCCTTGTTGACCTCCCTCCATTTGCATCCCTTGTCACATGTACATCAGCATTTTTCACGCGATCCTCCCCGCCGTCCGCCCACCCCTCTCTCTCTTCATGAATCTCATTTGCAGGGTGTCTTGATCCGCTCGTTTTTTTCATCACAGGAGTCTTCATCATTTGGAGTCAGACGAGTGTGTCATTTTCCCATGCGGAAAAAAAAACTAGAAAATAATAGAGAGAATATTTCCACGTTTTTGTGATAAAAATAGGAATTGGAACGAATCCGCAAATGACACACTCGCTTAGACGTTAGTTAGATCTCTAGTGATACACGTAAAATGCTTTTTCGCTTGTGATTATATCAAAGGTAAATCACAGAGAGGAAATACTTTGATACATCACAGCGATACCCACGCGCTATATTTCTCTGCAACAAAGTAGAAAGAGTCAAACAAGTAGGTATGTGTTATTAATTTGAAAAGAAATATGATATACAGACAAGCAACAGGAGGGTCGATGAATCGAATGAGCTGCACACAGAGAAACATCCACTCCAAAACTGTGAATTAACATCAATTCATCACATCATATGTGACACTAGGTTTACACAATATTCGTTTTGATGGGTCTACCACTGCATGCCGAGTGTTTTGACCGATTATGGAGGCACTTGGGTTTGTTATCGAGGTGAATTCAGTGTTCGAGTCTGTTGGCTCAATGATGAGCTGTGTGAGGTGATCAATGATTAATTATGCAGTCCTATGAAATTGCGGCTTTTTTGGCACGGGGATGAGGCTGCCATCACTCGAAAGATTTTTGCATGCTGATTTCAACTTTAGAGGACAGATCCCATAAAATTAACTATTTTCTGAGAAAAAAAATTTAAATTCCTCAAAGTGGCACGAAATCGCCTTTTTCAATATTTAATTATACAATGACGTCTCTGTCGACTGAGCAGAGAAAAAAGCTACGACAAGACCGGAAATTTTTGTTCCACATGGGGTAGAGTAGTTTTAATCAAAAGAGGGAAATCATTCATATTAAATTCCGCATTTTTTTCAGGAAAATTGCATTTATTTTTCAAAAGAATGTCATGGCGGCAATGGTCTGATATTGTATCGCCAGGTGGGATCTTAACTGCCAGATTTGAGTAACTCCCTCAATAATTATTAACCTTAAATAAATGAATCGAAATTCTTCCCTCTAGAAAATAAGAAATTTAGGAAAAATGAATAGTCATTTGCGGAGTTCATCAAAAATCATGTGCACCATAGTCATGCTCTAGGGGAACATGATTGTCATAATTGAAACCTAATCAGGCTCACCTGGGAATGACTCAGTTGAGGAAATCACATTTTGAAGAAATAAATTCTTCTCTCAAGTAAATGAATATTTGGTAATTTTTTTTTTCAGTGCAATTTTTTCATTGCCTTTCATTCAGCTCAATGGGCTCGGGCGTTATTTTTTCATTAAATTTTGAAAAAGACGATTTTGGGACATTTTAAGGACTTAAAAATTTTTCACAAACTAGGTAAATTTATGAGATTTGACCTGTAGATTTAAAATCAACGTACAAAAATCTTATGGAGTGGTAGTACACTGTTGGAAAAAAAATAAATTTCATGGACAATTGGCTACTAATTTACAGGAGAGTGACACTGAACGCGATTTAAGGGGGAAAAAATCGTGAACTTTCGAGTTTCACCGAAAATTCAGTAAAATTCCAGAATTTTGAACAGCATAAGGACGAGAATTCCTTAATTTATTTGAATTTCCAATCTAATATGAATACTCAGTGCCAAATTACACTGAATTTTCAGTGAAATCTTAAATTTCATAATTTTTTTCCCCCTAAATCGCATTTAGTGTCACTGTCCTGAAAATTGAAGAATATATTCACCAGAATCTTCTGGCTCTCTATAAATTTTCAGGGAAAAATGGAACTGAAATTGACAGTTCTCTTCGATTTTTCCACGAAATTCTGAATTTCCAGTGATCAAAATTCCTTGAAATTTCAGTGGTCATTAAATTCGATAAAAATTTCCAAAAAGTGTACCAGACATTTCAGACAAAAATTTTCAGCACTTCATCATCCCTGTGCCAAAAAAACCCCATTTTTGTAGAACCTATTATTTAATGACAGTACTCCATAGTCGGGCAGGACATTGGAATAGGGAAAGCCATCGAATGACAAATTAAAATGAATATGAAAGAACAATGACAAAGGGCCGTCCAATTGTTAATTTTTTTGGCAACGGCCTGGTGGAGGGAACGGTGAGACTGATAGATTTTTGGTCGGACGACGAATATTTTCACAGCTGGACGAACTCAGGGGTGAGGTACAGCGCAGGGACCAGGAAATACTTGGTATGGCCGCCAAGATGAAGACATTGGAGGAACAGCATCAGGATTATCAGAGGCACATCGCTGTTCTCAAGGAGTCACTCTGCGCCAAGGAGGAGCACTACAATATGCTTCAGGCTGACGTAAGGCATCAAATCATCTAAATGCTTCTGTATATTTCTATTACTGGAAATTGATGTGACGTGAAACTGGAAATATTTCTATTTTTGGGAGTGACAATGCCAGATGGCATTTCGATGCCATCGGTCTGAGAATAAAATCTATAAATACATCACCTGATTTAATCCTGAAGCAAATCGATTTCACCTCGGTACCCGTGCGACGCCTCTCCTCGGTTAGACAAATCGAACCGAGGCGGAAGCAGGTCACTGTGGTAAAGTGGGTCAGCTATGTGTCATGTGAATGTCTTTCAATTTTAGTATGAATTTTTCTCTGGTTTTTATTCGATTATGGAGGAAAATAGAACAGACATTTCGCTTTTTCTTGTGTTCATTATCGTTGAGGAGCTTAGGGGGTCGAGGAGGTGGACTAATCCCATTGAATTGTCAGGGGTTGCCAGGACATTGAAGCAGAGGAGAGGTTTTTATCTTTGCAAATTGAAGAGATATCAACAGAACATAACATAAACTTCTTCCACTCTAGAAAATTTGCTCTAAAATATCTCTTCATGTCGCTACAAAACTTGACGATATGTGGTTTTCGGAGGGAATATTCTCGCATTCAATCGAAGAGGCAAACCGGGTTAAGTCGATTTTGACTTTTAGCCAGTTTTTGATAAATATCTCGGAATCTAAAAGAGATACAAAAATTTTTGTTATGACATTTTTTGTGGAGACAATTAAGGGTTATAAAAAAGGTCATGAGAAAAATTTTGCTATCTCTCTCAGATGCGGAGATATTCGTCAAAATTTACCGCTTCGGTACTGAATTTTACCTAGAAATTTAGAAATTTATTTTGATCTCACCTTTCATTAGGTCGAGGAGATGAGACAGAGACTAGAAGAGAAAAATCGTTTAATCGAGAAGAAAACTCAGGCTGTCCTGCAGGCCCAACAGGAGAGAAATCGTTTCAATACCGAACTCACAGAACTCAAAGACCACATGGACATTAAAGATCGCAAGATTAATGTCCTCCAGCGAAAGGTGAGTCTCAATATTCCTCAAGTTTTTTTTTAACAAAATATTTTTTTGTCATCACTGGGGATATCGACACGTCGCTTTCATGAGACTGTCATCAATTCTCGCCCTGTCATTTGAGTTTTCGTTGATATTTATGAGAATGAATTTGTATGTATGAGGATGAGCGTAATATATTTGGAGAGCGTATCCTTAGACTTAAGTAGTTTGTGTCGAAGCGTAGTTTAGATATACAGCACAGTATTTCTGTCAATACCCGAAACACGTTCTATAAGTTGTTTTTTTTCTCCAGCAATTTCTATTCATTTATGTTGTATTATAGTGCACTGTATAGTTTTGTATTTTTCTCAATAAAGTTTTTCGTTTATTTTCCCTCATGAATTTTACCACGCTCCCATTTCTCTGTTCTTTTTATCTCCGTGTATGAATTGATTTTATTTTTCACCAACCACAAAACTACTTTTTCGAAACTCGAACTGATTGCCAGTTTCGTGATTTTTCGTTTACGCATTCAATTCGCGTTACACATTCACATAACACAGATACCTCAATGGAAAACACAGAACACAATGTAGCATTTGTGGTGGTATAGAAAAAAGTTAACTGTGGCTCGATAAAAAAAAGTATCAGCTGGAAGCATCCAAGAAAGTAAGTAAACAGATCCCGCTAGATCCACTCCTGCTTTTCTGTAAAAAAATATGTATTCTCTCCTGCTTTTTCTAAATTTCCTTATTTCAAAGTAACTCTATTACAGTCCAATCTTCGCACAAGATACCACAAGGCCTGTAGGGGAATAAAATTCAGAGAATTCTGTCTCTCCACTTTACTTGCGCTCAGGGGAGAAAATATTTTGATTTTATATTCTTCGTACGAGATACTAGATGATTTCCACTTTTTATGATCATTTGAGTGCGATTCCGGGTGTGAAATACGAATGTTCGAGTAGAAGTATTGTTCCTATTCAAAATAACAATTTAGAAACTCGGAATAAGTTATTACAGGAAATTGTTGTTCTCGACCATTTGTTTTGAAATTGTTGAAATTCGTTTGGGCCATAGCCAGGTCAGCAGCAATAATTCATTACAAATTTACTAATTCAATTGCACTACGTTCCGAATGCTCAAGGCATTCCTCTTCAGGTGCATAATTTATTCTGGAATAAATGACAAAATAATTATAAAAGATTGCACAATCACTTGACTATTGTTAAAATGTAAACTGTGGCCTAAGAATCGTCAATTCTTCCCAAATATCAAAACATTTTCTTATTGATTAGTTTTGATGTTTGGTAAGAATTTACGATTATTAGGGCACAGTTTACATTTTAAAAATAATCAAGTGATTGTGCAATCTTTTAAAATTATTTTGTCATTAATTCCAGAATAAATTATGTTCCTGAAGAAGAATGCCTTGATCATTCGAAACGTAGGGCAATTGAATTAGTAAATTTGTAATGAATTATTGCTGCTGACGTGAATATGGTCCAAACGAATTACAACAATTTCGGAACAAGTGAGTTTATTAATAGAGGCCTGTGAGGCAAAATTGAGACTTTCATTAGAATTTTGCTTTTCATGAAAATTGGGTTGAATTTTGTTTCGTTTTATCTATTTATCCATCCAAAAATGAACGTAAACACATGGTGCAATATATGTGAAATAAATAAATATTTTACCAAATTTTATGACCAATGCGTTTAATTTTGTTTTACGAGCTGTTCGTTTTAAAATAGAATTGACACGCGATTGATGGAAGACTACTATGAGTTTTAAGTCACGGGCGATCGGAGATTTCTCATACATTGAAGATCGATTATATATGTCTAAAACCGAATAATAAGTGCAAAAAAATAAACTGTTTATTGTTCGTTTCCCCCGCACACGTTTAAAATGTTAAAAATAGTCCAGAGCCTCCAATTTTTGGAGGTTTCTTTTGTTTTCAAAATTTTTGGAAAAATGTGTGCAATAATAATTATGAATTAGTTTTTTGGAATTCGACTCCTACACAGCTAATTTCGTTTTCTTGAATATAAAAATTTGCGTCATTTATGTAAAATAGGCAGAAAAATGATCCTTAAAATATTTAAAATATATTCTCCATTCTATCCGCAACATTTTTCGGGCTACTTTACCTGAATGATGTAAATTTCTATTTAAAAAATAACGAAATTAGCGGTGTAGGAGTTGAATTTCAAAAAACTAATTCGTAATTGTAATTGTACACATTTTTTCAAAAATTTTGAAAAAAACGAAACCTCGGTAGCTCATAAATTGAAAGCCCTGGACTATTCTTAATATTTTAAGGGACAAATGAACAATAAACAATTCATTGTTTGCACTAATTATTTATTTTTGGACATATATAGTCCATTTTCATCACGCTATGACGAAAAGT